CCCCACTCCATCTTCCCCAGAATTGCCTATCACAATTCCCATTACAGACAGTGATTTCCACTGGGTGCTCCGGGTGGAAAACAATCTCCCCACCCCTTCCCATGCTTTACTAAGAGTGCTTATTGCCTAATTGGAAGAACTTCAAGCAAGGCAACTAGAAAAATGGTCTAATTCAGGGTTTCTTAAACTAAGCACCATTGACATTTTGGGTCTTTGTGGCTGAATAATTCTCAAGGCCAGCAGAAACCTCTCCCTCCCAGAGTGGCACCAAAAATGTCTCCAGATGTTGCCAGTTGTACCCTGGGGAGAGCTGGAAGGGGGGGGGGGAGAGGGAGTACAGCTATCAACATCTGGAGATATTTTTGGTGTCAGTTGCGAACCATTAATAGGTCTAATCTGTGAAACTTCAGGCTCGGTAACTAGGTTAATTTTAAGGGAGATTTGTGAAGTCAGAACAGATAGTTGTCTTTCATGCATGGTAACAGGGAGACTGTTATTTATTGTTATTAAGTCCAGGCAGGCAGGAAGCACAGACTGGCCTAAAGAGTCTGTACCCATGAGAAAGGCAGTTCGATGAAAGGCTGTCTGCTCTTCAGAAGGGTCTGCGCATGTGAAGGGACCATGAGGATGGGCGGGGTTAAGGAAGATGGAGAACATGGGTGTAAGCCAGGAAGCTGGTGGACAGTTGTGTGATGTGCGGTGTAATTTCTCCCCACAACTATCAAGACCCCGGTAAAGTTACTAAGCTCTCAAAACCAAATTGTAAGTGGGTGTGGGAAATTATAGTGTGTGCCGCTAGTTCAAGACCAACCTGAGGAAGCACTTATGGACCTGCAGCAGAGATGAGAGGCCCAGGAGGTAGGAAGATGGGAAGGTCACAGGAATCATGGAAAGGGCAATAACTTGCACAAACTGTGGTTTTGGAAGTTTGGGCCAAGTGTACCAAAACTGGTGAGAAAGATCAGGAACCCAAATAACAAATAATTTCTTCTTGGCCTCAGCATCCTTTCTATCAGTAGGTTATGCAAGGAAGTGTGTGCTACGGAGTGCACACACCCCTGATGGCAGTTAAGGACTTTTTTGGTTTTTGTTAATCCTCACCTGAGGATGTTTTTCCATTGATTTTTAGAGAGAGTGGAATGGAGGGGAGAGACAGAGAGCGAGCAACCTTGATGTGAGAGAGACACGTGCCCTGGGCTGGGGATTGAGCCTGCAGCCCAGGTGCACATCCTTGACTGGGATCGAACCCCAGACCTTACAGTCTCCGGACTGACACTCTATCCACTGAGCCAAACCGGCTAGGGCAAGAACTTTTGTTCTAGAAGCAAGGCAAGTGGCTGAAGCCCTAGGCTAGGTGTCCCCAGTCCTGAGATTATCAGGATATGGGCTTCGTAACTTCTGTTCTTATACCTTCCCCAAATCTGTAGCAAGATCTAATCATCTCTGTTCTCTTTCAATTACATTCTTATTATAAATGGGTGTTGCAGATACTTTTTGGGGTGTTTGCCCGGCTCCCATGTCCCCCCAACTCTCTAGACCTGCCCCTAGCTGCCATGTTCTTACCTGCCCTCACCCCTGCTCCTGGCCTGGGCCCCAGCTGATTGGATCAATAAAATAATCCCTTTAGAAATTGGAATTAGCATTTGAATTCAGTTAGTCTGTCTGGGCATGTGCTGGCACTGAGACACCCACAAATTTTTGGGAGATGAGAGAGTGATTTTTTTTTTTTTAATCCTCACCTGAGGATATTTTTTTCCATTGATTTCTAGAGAGAGTGGAAGGGAGGGAGAAGGGGGAGAGAAAGAGAGATAAACATCAACTTGAGAGAGACACTTCTATTGGTTGCCTCCTGCACTTGTCCCTACCGGGACTGGGGAACCTGCAACTTGACAGGGAATCAAATCCACGACCCTTTGGCCTAAGGACCAATGCTCTAACCACAGAGCAAAACCGGCCAGGGCAAGGGAGTCATTTTCCATCCTGCCGACACAGAAGCAGGGAGAAACAGCCTTCAGAATAGAGACAGCCAGTCGGCCTGTTGGTCAAATCCCTCTAGTATTAACTACAACAATCAAGGCTTAACTAGAACAAGACTGCGCACAAAGACCACTAGGGAGTGCACCAAGAAAGCGTAAAAAATGCGGAGACAAAAAAACATGACAGAAATGGAGGATATAGAGCTAAAAAACGCAATTTTGAGGGCTTGCAAAAATGTGCTAGAAGCTGCCAATAAACTTGAGGAGAGACTCACGAAAACTAATGAGACCCTCGATGCTATGATAAAGAACCAACTAGAAATTAAGCATACACGGACTGAAATAAAGAATATTATACAGACACCCAATAGCAGACCAGAGGAGCGCAAGAATCAAGCCAAAGATTTGAAATGCGAAGAAGCAAAAAACACCCAACCGGAAAAGCAAAATGAAAAAAGAATCCGAAAATACGAAGATAGTGTAAGGAGCCTCTGGGACAGCTTCAAGCGCACTAATATCAGAATAATAGGGGTGCCAGAAGATGAGAGACAGCAAGATATTGAAAACCTATTTGAAGAAATAATGGCAGAAAACTTCCCCCACCTGGTGAAAGAAATGGACTTACAGGTCCAAGAAGCGCAGAGAACCCCAAACAAAAGGAATCCAAAGAGGACCACACCAAGACACATCATAATTAAAATGCCAAGAGCAAAAGACAAAGAGAGAATCTTAAAAGCAGCAAGAGAAAGAGACTCAATTACCTACAAGGGAATACCCATACGACTGTCAGCTGATTTCTCAACAGAAACTTGGCAGGCCAGAAGGGAATGGCAAGAAATATTCAAAGTGATGAATACCAAGAACCTACAACCAAGAATACTTTATCCAGCAAAGCTATCATTCAGAATTGAAGGTCAGATAAAGAGCTTCACAGATAAGGAAAAGCTAAAGGAGTTCATCACCACTAAACCAGTATTATACGAAATGCTGAAAGGTATCCTTTAAGAAGAGGAAGAAGAAAAAGGTAAAGATACAAATTGTGAACAACAAACATGCATCTATCAACAAGTGAATCTAAGAACCAAGTGAATAAATAATCTGATGTACAGAATGAACTGGTGATTATAATGAATCAGGGACATAGAAAGGGAATGGACTGACTATTCTTGGCGGGGAAAGGGGAATGGGAGATGCGGGAAGAAACTGGACAAAAATCGTGCACCTATGGATGAGGACAGTGGGTGGGGAGTGAGGGCGGAGGGTGGGGCGGGAACTGGGAGGAGGGGAGTTATGGGGGAAAAAAAAAGAGGAACAAATGTAATCTGAACAATAAAGATTTAATAAAAAAAAAAAAAGAATAGAGAAGCCTGAAAGACGTGAAGAAGGGGACAGAGAAGGGGCTCCTGCTGGAGCACAAGTTTAGATCTGTAAGAAGTCTAGTTTCCTTTGGGTTTGTGACAGACTCTAGAATCTTTTGATAAATTCCTCTTCTGTCTTGAGCTGTCTAGAGTAGACAGAGACCAACCTAGAGAATCTAATACCATAAGGTAAAGTAATTCTGTTTCTAACTGGTTTTATTTTTATTTTTAATCCTCACCTGACGATATTTTTTCATGAGAGGGAAAGACAGAGAGAAATATCGATGTGAGAGAGACACATTGATTGGTTGCCTCCTGCACACTTCCCAACCAGGGCCTGCAACCAAGATACGTACCCTTGACCAGAATCAAACCCAGGACCCTTTGGTCTGCAGGCCGACACTCTATCCATTGAGCCAAACCAGCTAGGGCTCTACCTAGTTTTACGCATTAGTGATAGTTGTCTTCCCAGGAAAATATAGAGAGGTGACCCAGCTTCCTCAATAGAAAAATCTCAGATTTCTAGTTGACTGGCCTTTTTTATTTTATTTCACCCCTAGAAAAACTAAGAACTATTTGCAAGATCTTTAGGTTCATATTGCTACTTGAAGAATTTAAAAAAATATATTTTTATTGATTTTAGAGAGGAAGGAAGAGGGGGAGAGAGAAAGATCAATGATGAGAAAGAATCATTGATTGGCTGCCTCCTGCATGCACCCCACTGGGGATTGGGCCCGGAACCCAGGCACGTGCCCTGACCAAAAATCAAACCTGACATCCTGGTTTATAGGTTGGCATAACCACTGAGCCACATGGGCCGGGCTTGAAGAATTTTTTTTTTCCTGTGTTCAGTGCTCTTTCTTTTTTTTTATTTCTTTTTTTTAAAATTAAATCTTTATTGTTCAGATTACTACATTAGTTACTCTTTTTTCCCACCATAACTCCCCTCCCCCCAGTTCCCACCCCACCCTCCGCCCTCACTCCTCACCCAGTGTAGGACATTTTTCTTATACTACAGTATCCGTGTGCCGCCCGTTTATTAGGAAGCACGTGCTTTGAGAGAAGAGGTTATTTTCTTGCTGAATTTCAAATACCCAACAGTGGCCAGCAAAGAGCCTTAAACATGTGCATGTTAAGCATTCAATAAGTAGTAGTTGAATTAAAATAAAATTTGCAGCCCTGGCTGGTTTGGCTCAGTTTGGCTTAGAGCGCCGGTCTGAAGACCAAAGGATTGTGGGTTCAATTACTGGTCAATGGCATGTACCTCAGTTGCTCATTCAATATCGGGGTGAGTACGGGAGGCAGAAGATCAGTGGAAAAAATATCCTCGGTGAGGATTAACAAAAACAAACAAACAAACATAAAAAAGGTGTGCTATTGTTGTCACTAACTGCGAATCTTTAGAAATAAAGTGTTTGGGATTCTGGTGCAATGAACAGGACTATTGTTTTTAAAGTTCTTTATTCCAAGCAGCAATAATTCATATGGATACTAGCAGGACTTAGTGAGACCTGTAAAACATGTGGAATTTGGAAA